CTTAGGGAATCACAAATGATAACACATACCATCGCTGGTCTATTTTCAGTTCTGCTGGCCGTGATAATAGACCCTGATGAAAAGCAGCTCAGGGAGGGAGAAAGGGGCTATCTTAGTATCAGACTCATCCATGAGCACAGAAACCTCAAACAGCTAGTCACACGGCATCCACGCTCGGGAGCAGGGAGAATGGATGAACGCACCCACACTCGGGAGCAGGGAGAATGGATGAACGCACCCACACTCGGGAGCAGGGAGAATGGATGAACGCACCCACACTCGGGAGCAGGGAGAATGGATGAACGCACCCACACTCGGGAGCAGGGAGAATGGATGAACGCACCCACGCTCGGGAGCAGGGAGAATGGATGAACGCACCCACACTCGGGAGCAGGGAGAATGGATGAACGCACCCACACTCGGGAGCAGGGAGAATGGATGAACGCACCCACACTCGGGAGCAGGGAGAATGGATGAACGCACCCACACTCGGGAGAATGGATGAACGCACCCACACCCGGGAGCAGGGAGAATGGATGAACGCACCCACACTCGGGAGCAGGGAGAATGGATGAACGCACCCACACTCGGGAGAATGGATGAACGCACCCACACTCGGGAGAATGGATGAACGCACCCACACTCGGGAGCAGGGAGAATGGATGAACGCACCCACACTCGGGAGAATGGATGAACGCACCCACACTCGGGAGAATGGATGAACGCACCCACACTCGGGAGAATGGATGAACGCACCCACACTCGGGAGAATGGATGAACGCACCCACACTCGGGAGAATGGATGAACGCACCCACGCTCGGGAGAATGGATGAACGCACCCACACTCGGGAGAATGGATGAACGCACCCACACTCGGGAGAATGGATGAACGCATCCCACACTCGGGAGAATGGATGAACGCACCCACACTCGGGAGAATGGATGAACGCACCCACGCTCGGGAGAATGGATGAACGCACCCACACTCGGGAGAATGGATGAACGCACCCACACTCGGGAGAATGGATGAACGCACCCACACTCGGGAGAATGGATGAACGCACCCACACTCGGGAGAATGGATGAACGCACCCACACTCGGGAGAATGGATGAACGCACCCACACTCGGGAGAATGGATGAACGCACCCACACTCGGGAGAATGGATGAACGCATCCACACTCGGGAGAATGGATGAACGCACCCACACTCGGGAGCAGGGAGAATGGATGAACGCACCCACACTCGGGAGAATGGATGAACGCACCCACACTCGGGAGAATGGATGAACGCACCCACACTCGGGAGAATGGATGAACGCATCCACACTCGGGAGAATGGATGAACGCACCCACACTCGGGAGAATGGATGAACGCACCCACACTCGGGAGAATGGATGAACGCACCCACACTCGGGAGAATGGATGAACGCACCCACACTCGGGAGAATGGATGAACGCACCCACACTCGGGAGAATGGATGAACGCACCCACACTCGGGAGAATGGATGAACGCACCCACACTCGGGAGAATGGATGAACGCACCCACACTCGGGAGAATGGATGAACGCACCCACACTCGGGAGAATGGATGAACGCACCCACACTCGGGAGAATGGATGAACGCATCCCGCGCTCGGGAGAATGGATGAACGCACCCACACTCGGGAGCAGGGAGAATGGATGAACGCACCCACACTCGGGAGAATGGATGAACGCACCCACACTCGGGAGAATGGATGAACGCACCCACGCTCGGGAGAATGGATGAACGCACCCACACTCGGGAGAATGGATGAACGCACCCACGCTCGGGAGAATGGATGAACGCACCCACACTCGGGAGAATGGATGAACGCACCCACACTCGGGAGCAGGGAGAATGGATGAACGCACCCACACTCGGGAGAATGGATGAACGCACCCACACTCGGGAGAATGGATGAACGCATCCCACACTCGGGAGAATGGATGAACGCACCCACACTCGGGAGAATGGATGAACGCACCCACACTCGGGAGAATGGATGAACGCACCCACACTCGGGAGAATGGATGAACGCACCCACACTCGGGAGAATGGATGAACGCACCCACACTCGGGAGAATGGATGAACGCATCCCACACTCGGGAGAATGGATGAACGCACCCACACTCGGGAGAATGGATGAACGCACCCACACTCGGGAGAATGGATGAACGCACCCACACTCGGGAGAATGGATGAACGCACCCACACTCGGGAGAATGGATGAACGCACCCACACTCGGGAGAATGGATGAACGCACCCACACTCGGGAGAATGGATGAACGCACCCACACTCGGGAGAATGGATGAACGCACCCACGCTCGGGAGAATGGATGAACGCACCCACACTCGGGAGAATGGATGAACGCACCCACACTCGGGAGCAGGGAGAATGGATGAACGCACCCACACTCGGGAGAATGGATGAACGCACCCACACTCGGGAGCAGGGAGAATGGATGAACGCACCCACACTCGGGAGAATGGATGAACGCACCCACACTCGGGAGAATGGATGAACGCACCCACACTCGGGAGCAGGGAGAATGGATGAACGCACCCACACTCGGGAGCAGGGAGAATGGATGAACGCATCCACGCTCGGGAGAATGGATGAACGCACCCACACTCGGGAGAATGGATGAACGCATCCCACACCCGGGAGCAGGGAGAATGGATGAACGCACCCACACTCGGGAGAATGGATGAACGCACCCACACTCGGGAGAATGGATGAACGCACCCACACTCGGGAGCAGGGAGAATGGATGAACGCACCCACACTCGGGAGAATGGATGAACGCACCCACACTCGGGAGCAGGGAGAATGGATGAACGCACCCACACTCGGGAGAATGGATGAACGCACCCACACTCGGGAGAATGGATGAACGCACCCACACTCGGGAGAATGGATGAACGCATCCACGCTCGGGAGAATGGATGAACGCACCCACACTCGGGAGAATGGATGAACGCACCCACACTCGGGAGAATGGATGAACGCATCCACACTCGGGAGAATGGATGAACGCATCCCACACTCGGGAGAATGGATGAACGCACCCACACTCGGGAGAATGGATGAACGCATCCCGCGCTCGGGAGAATGGATGAACGCATCCCGCGCTCGGGAGAATGGATGAACGCATCCCGCGCTCGGGAGAATGGATGAACGCACCCACACTCGGGAGAATGGATGAACGCACCCACACTCGGGAGAATGGATGAACGCACCCACACTCGGGAGAATGGATGAACGCATCCACACTCGGGAGAATGGATGAACGCACCCACACTCGGGAGAATGGATGAACGCACCCACACTCGGGAGAATGGATGAACGCATCCCGCGCTCGGGAGAATGGATGAACGCATCCCGCGCTCGGGAGAATGGATGAACGCACCCACACTCGGGAGAATGGATGAACGCACCCACACTCGGGAGAATGGATGAACGCACCCACACTCGGGAGAATGGATGAACGCATCCCGCGCTCGGGAGAATGGATGAACGCATCCCGCGCTCGGGAGAATGGATGAACGCACCCACACTCGGGAGAATGGATGAACGCATCCCGCCCACTCCTGGGCTTGTTTGCAGCCTCCCCATTCCCATCTCCAATTTTATTCTATTTAGTTTTGGTTTTTCAAGACAGGGTTTCTCTGTGTAGCTCTGGCTGTCTAGGAACTCACTCTGTAGACCAGGCTGGCCTCAAACTCACAAAGATCCACCTGCCTCTGCCTCCCGAGTGCTGGGGCTAACGGCGTGAGCCACCACCACCCTGAAGATGTAGGCTTCTGGATGAGAGACATGTCCTCATCCTAACAAGGCAAAAGGAACTGCTTCTGGACTCGTATGTCTGAGTCACTCAAGGCCCAGGGGTCTTGGTGTCTGGCAGTTTAAAAATACAAACAGTAGCATTTGGAACCACACTGAGTCATTCAACAAGCTGTGTGTGTGTGTGTGTGTGTGTGTGTGTGTGTGTGTGTGTGTGTGTTTCCCTCGGCCAGGCCTTCTGCCAGGCCATGAGTTAAATGAGGTTGTCCCTGGGGTTGGGTATATGTGGAACTTGGGGAAAAGAACAGGGTGTCATGGTAGGAGAGTTCACTCTGCAGTGTTTTTTCTTCTCACAGTCTGGAAAAGTTTTATATCATTTGTATATCCATTACTTGACATGATGCTGGGGTGGGGTGCCTGACAGGGTGGGTTTCTTTTGTCTCACAGTCTGAGGGTGCAGTCCATATGTGGTAAAGAGGGTTCAAGACACCTGCATCCCAGTCAGCTAGCTAGCTCTCTGTCTCTCTGTCTCTGTCTCTCTCTCTGTTCCTCTCTGTCTCTGTGTCTCTCTGTTTGTCCCTCTCTGTCTCTCTCTGTGTGTTTCTCTGTCTCTGTCTCCCTCTCTCTGTCTCTTTCTCTCTTCTGTGCAGTCCTGACTATCTTGGAACTCACTCTGTAGACCAGGCTGGCTTCAAACTCACAGAGATCCTCCTTCCTCTGCCTCCCAAGCACTGGCATGAAAGGCGCGCACGACCACACCTCTCCTTTGTACTCAGTCCTGGACCCACAGCCCATCAAATGGTGCCACCTACATTAAAGTCCTCCAACCCAATTAACCCAACCTAGAAAATCCCACGAAGACATGCCCGGAGATACATTTCCACAATGATTCTAACCCTGCTAGTTGACAAGAGTAACCACCACAGCTTGGAGACGCTGACTGTTGCTCCTTTCCCTCAGAGAGGCCGTGTGGAGACCCACCATCCTTCCCACACACCATCCTGCAGGGTCGCACCGGCTTGGAGATGGGTGATGAACTGCTGTATGTGTGTGCACCCGGCTCCGTCACAGGTCATCGAGAAACTGCCTTCACCTTGCTGTGTAACAGCTGTGGGGAGTGGTATGGACTCGTGCAAGCCTGCGGGAAAGGTAAGCGTCGCCTGCCTACATGGAGCCCCCACGGGGCTTTCAGACGGCCAACGCTTGCCATGCCCAGGCATTGAGAGCCTCTATCTCTGGGAATCCAGGTGCGTCGGGCATTCACAACTGCACTCTTGATCTACCTGCTGGAGGTGAGGAGTTAACATGCCCACCCTTCTTCTCTAAGGAGAGACTTGACCCAGGCTAAGTTGCTTTTTTTAAAGTTTATACTCTATTATGTCTTATGGGTGCCTTTGCCTGTATATATATAAATGCAACCCAGAGCTCACCAATGTAAACAGAGATAGTCTTGCTGCCAGCTTGCTCTGTCTCTACCTTCTGACGTTTAAATGAAATTATGCGTAGGTCACTACACCCACCCAGCTGGTATGGGAGTTTCCGGGGATCTGAACTCAGGCCCTCACGTTTGTACAGAAAGCACTTTAACCATTGAGCTGTTAGGACAGTTTGTCCTCAAATGTCTTGTAGATCATGGGGAATTTGGAATTACTGGAGCACCTTTAGGATGCTGCAATCCACCTTATTGTATGTCTCCACTGCTAATTACTATCCATAGTTTGGTACTGCCCAGGATGTCTGTCAGCCTGCCAGAGGGGACATTAGGCTTGTTTCCATTTTTGTGGCTGTCAGGAGCTGTCTACCATGGTGATTGTCACCCATGTCACTTGGTCCTCAGGAAGTATCTTGTCATTGTCTCCTCCAAGCAGGACTCTGCCTTACAATGTGACTGTCCGGCTTCAAGGTCACTCCCCAAGTGTTTTCTAAGCCAGTGTGGTCCATTGACCCTCTGCCATCCCTGTGGGGAGTCATTGCCGCAGAAGCAAGGAACATCTGGTCACATGACATCCACCGTCAGGAAGCAGAGCAAATGTTCAGTTTACTTTTTCCCTTCTCATGCAGCTGAGGACCCCGCCCACAGAGTGGCACCTCCCACTTTTAGTGTGGGTCTTCTCACCTCAGGTAACCTCAACTAGGAATCTCTCACTGGCATGGCCAAAGGTTTGTCACTCTGTGATTATAGATCCCGTGAAGCAGGCAATCAACATCAGCCATCATACCCTCCCATTGGAAGTGTCTGATAGCTCACATTCCATAGTCCCAACGTTTGTGAATTAGGCCAAATATTCTTTTCACCAATGGCAGTGAAGTCATGACATGTCAATCCAGCATTATACTTTCCTCATGTCAGCTGAAATATTTTGTCAAGTTTTCTAATTGCTTAGAAATGGTCATTTGCATCTGGTTGTGGTGGTGGTGCACGCCTTTGTTCCCAGCCCTTTGGGGGCAGAGCCAGGAGGATCTCTGAGTTTGAAGCCAGTCTGGTCTACAGAGGGAGTTCCAGGACAGCCAAGCCTGTTACACAGAGAAACCCTGTCTTTTTTTTTAAAGATTTATTTATTTATTTATTATGAATACAACATCTTGCCTCCATGTATGTCTGCACACCAGAAGAAAGCACCAGATCTCATTAAGGATGGTTGTGAGCCACCATGTGGTTGCTGGGAATTGAACTCAGAACCTCCTGAAGAGCAGTCAGTGCTCTTAACCTCTGAGCCATCTCTCCAGCCCGAAACCCTGTCTTGAAAAGGGAGGAAGGAAGGAAGGGAGGGAGGGAGGGAGGGAGGGAGGGAGGGAGGGAGGGAGGGAGGGTGGGTGGAAGGAAGGAAAGAATGTTCATTTACATACCATAGGTTTTCTTATAGGATATTTGTAATTAATATGTTATATTTTCCCAGTCTGGGGGGAATAAATCATTCATAAAGTACTTATCCAGCATGTGTTAAGCTCTGAGTTTAATTTCCAGCAGCACACACATACAGACACACACACAGAGATACACACAGACAGACACACACATACACATGCATATATGCACACACATGCACTATATTTTTGTTGTTTACTTTTTCATTACTATGAGTGTGAGTGTGTGTATATGCGTGTGTGCGTGTGTGCATGTGTGTATGTGTGGTGTGAGTGTGCCTGTGTGTAGTGTGAGTGTGCGTGTGTGCGTTTGTGTGTGTGGTGTGTGTGTGTACGTGTATGTGTGCATGCACACATGCTATGGCATGCATGCATAGGACATCGGGCAGGAGTCTGTTCTCTCCTCCTGCATGTGGGCCCTGGGGATCACACTCAGACCCTTAGGCTTGTGCCTGACAGGGGCCGCTTCCATCCACTCAGACATCTCTCCTACCCGTTTCTTTTCTTTTAGACAAGGTTTCTCTGTGTGGCAGCTCTGTCTGACCTGGACCTCACTCTGTAGACCAGGCTGGCCTGGAACTCAGAGATCCGCCTGCCTCTGCCTCCCGAGTGCTGGGATTAAAGGTGTGCGCCCCCATGGCCAGAGTTTGTTTTTGTTTTGTTATGTTTTTGTTGAGATAGTCCTGATACAGTCTAGGGTCTTGATGGAGTTTGTTTTCTCTCCCAGTTGAAGAACTAAAAGGCAGGAGTTTATATAGGGCTGGGGGAAGGATCCAGAGCTTCACGAATGCTAAGCAAGCACTGTACTAACCCATAAACACAGAATTGTTAAAAATAAAGCTTCTGTCCCAGTCTGGCTTAATCCAGTCACAGTTCCGAGCACATTTTAGTGAATGGATTTTTGGGTGTTTTTTATTTTTTTATCCATTTTGTAACCTTCCAGATCAGAGTGGGTACCATTAGGGTGGTCTAGCCACAGACTAGCTGCAAACTCTGTGAATTGTTACAAAATTTTTGGTATTAGATAAATAAATAAATTATATAAAATAGATTCCCACTATAAATACACTTTTTTGTTGGCATAGATTCTAAAATTCCTTGTGAAATTATTCCAGAAGCTTCTACAGCCATTATCTTCACTTGCTTATTAGTTCCTAGTAACTAAGTGACACAGGCAGGTGCTGGAGGGCGTTGCCCATCCATGGTCTAGGCCACCCTCACCCAGACCTTTAGTGTTTTCCAGAGGCGCTGAAGTGGCACCTTCCTGTGAGCCGCACCCAGCTGCCAAATGGGTGGTTTACTGGCCCAGGGAGGATGAGAACTAAATGCAGGTTTTGTGTGCTCTGGAAGGTGTTTATTTTCTCACTGTTGTGAGGAGTCAGAGCTTTCAACTGATTCTGGCTTCTACACTTGACTGGGCAGACAGACCATACAGTTCTCCTTACTCGGAAGATTCGGCATTTAAAATGTCTGTGTCCTAGGAAGAAAGTGTGTGCGTGCATGCATGCGTTCGTGTGTGCATGGGTGTGTGTGCACGTGCATGCGTGTGTGTGTGTGTGTGTGTGTGTGTGTGTGTGTATGACATGCATATGCGCGAGTGGAATACCTTTACCAGCATTGTCATGGGTGCACGTGTGTGTGTGCACATGTGTGTGTGTGTATGACATGCATATGCGCGAGTGGAATACCTTTACCAGCATTGTCATGGTGGCACACACCTGCAATCCCAGCACTTGGGAGGTGGGGACAAAGAGGGAGGGACTTGGTCATCCTTGATTGAATAACAAGTCCAAGACCAGCCTGGGACGCAAGAAAATACATCTGAAAAGGGAACAGAAAAGGACTAGGGTGTGGCTCAGGGGTGGTGCTTTCCTAGCACGGGTGAGGCCATGGATTAGCTCCTTAGCACCTCGCAAACCGTGACACACACCTGTGATCTGAGCAGTTTGGAGGTGAAGGCAGGAGAACTGGAGTTCAGTGCTCTTCTCAGTTGCATAGTGAGTTCTAGGGCAGCCTGGGAAACATGAGATTTTTTTTGAGGGTTGGGGAAGATTGTTTTGGAAGGAAGGAAGGAAGGAAGGAAGGAAGGAAGGAAGGAAGGAAGGAAGGAAGAAGGGTGGTGAGAGATGGGGAGGAGAGAAAGGATTAGACAAGTTTAGGGCCAGCTACTCTCCTAACCCTGCAGACATACAGAAAACATAATTGGAATCTATGGAGCCTGAGGATGGGGGAGTTTACTCATTTGATAGGGTGTGAGCGTACCGTATTTGAAGCACTATACAAATTGTGCATGGTAGCACACACCTGTCACCCCAGGACTTGGGAGATGGAGGAAGGAGGCTCAAAACTTCAAGGTCATCTCCCTGCTCCACAGCAAGTTAGGGGACAGCTTGGGCTACAAGTGACAGTCTTAAAACAACAAGTAAACATATGGAATGGCGGTGGGAGGGGGTAGAAAGTCCTCCTGGCCTTTTGGAGTCTTGGGGCTTTTTCTGTTTCTTCTTTCGGTTTTTCGAAACAGGGTTTCTCTGTATTGTTTTGGAGCCTGTTCTGGAACTTGCTCTGTAGACCAGGCTGGTCTCGAAATCACAGAGATCTGCCTGCCTCTGCCTCCCAAGTGCTGGGATTAAAGGCATGCACCACCAACACCCAACTTAAATGAACAGTCTTTAAAATGACAAGAGTTAGGGATGATGAGATGGTTCAGGGGGTAAAAGCACTTGCCTCCAAGCCCAGGACTTGAGTTTGATCCCAAGAACTCACACGGTAGAAAGATGGAGCCAACTCCCAAATATCCTGACTCCCACACACGTGCTGTCACATACACACACCACATATACACACAAAATAAATGAGTTTTTTACAAAACCGAGCAAGCAAAACAAGCCCTCAGAGCCCTTGGACAGCCTGCTATACTTGCCAGCTACACACTGTGTCTCCTCCATGAGAATCGGGGTTTAACATGGGTGAGTGGTGGTCCATACCTTTAATGCCAGAGCTCAGGAAGCGGAGGCAGGGGGATCTCTGTAAGTCTGAGGACCCAGGGAGAGGATGGCCCCTTGCTTCCCTTCCTCACTCCCTCTTAATTACTTCCCCAGGGCAGTGCAACCCCAGTAAATGCCCACTCACCAAACCCACTGAGTACAAGGGTCATAGAGCCTCCCGAAGGCTGGGAAGCAATGCCCGTTTCCCTGACTTCTGCAGCCGTCAAACCCACTGAGTCCTTCTGTGCAGAGCCCCCGACTTCTTTCCGTGTCACCCAAAGCACCAGCTTCCCAGCTCCTCCACCACCTCCTCTGCCTCGCAGGCTTCCTGAGGTACCCAGTGACTAGCAACTGGCTTGAGTCAGCTCTATAGACACTTCAGAAGCTACCCAACGGTAGCATGTGCCGTGGGCCAGTCCACCTGGCAAGGTGAGCTCCAAACCACGTGCACCCAGCTCCAGCCCTTCTCAACGTACTCCCCCAAATGACTGTTGTCCAATCGGAAGCAGTTCCCTAACTTAACAAAAAAAGATGCTCATTAGGCAAAACAAACGTGAAAGTGAGTAAAACGTTTGACGATCTCGGTGTGTGTGTGTGTGTACAGGTGTGTGCATCTGTGTATGTGTGTGTTCATTTTATTTGGGTTCTTTTGGATTTATTACATTTATTAGTGTGTGTGTGTGTGTGTGTGTGTGTGTGTGTGTGTGTGTGTGTGTGTGTGTGAGACACCATGGTGCTAATGTAGAGATCAGAGGACAAACTACAGGAGTGGGCTGTCTCTTCCACTTCGTGGGGTCCACAAATCCTCGGAGCTGGAGGCAGGCAGCTTTACCCCATGAACAAGCTTGACTTCCCTGCATCATGTGCTTTTTGTTTGTGTGGGGGCCAATATCTCCTGTTGCTCAAACTGGCCTAGAACTCATCTTGCAACAGAGAATGACCTTGAACTGCAGATCCTCAGGCTGCCCCTCCCACGTTCTGAGATTACAAATGTCTGCCACCAGGCCTGGCTGCCCCTAGCCTTTCTTTAACTCCCCTGCTCTGATCAGGCACGGACACAAGACACATCTCTGTCAGGCACTGAGGAAAGAGCTATTGCCAGCCAAGTATCTGTTCCATGCCATCGATGTGCTGGGAATTGTGATGTTTTCTTCCTAAACTTTGTTTAAAGCTTTACTTACAGGTAACAGACCACCCACTTCAAATATGAAACTATCTGAGTTATTCACACCTGTGAACTCACCATCACAATCAAATATGAACCCCAAGGCT